CGTCCAAAGTCATAACCTTTTGCATAACGCTTGCCGACCGAATTTATGAAACAGAGAACCTTTCCGCATAATGCCCTCTACGCTAGGATGTTCGTCTCCAAAACTAAGCCAACTCTTACAGGTTATGGGCAAATAATCATTAGTTGGACACCCCACAATAGCGTAGAAGTAACAAATGACTCCTCTCATCTTATGTTTCCTGCCGTTTTTCATATAATGGAAAGCCCTAAACTTATGCGCTTAAGTTAACCGCAATCAGAAGTTTTCAAATGCGAAACCATGTCTCAGTACTTTTTTATTAAAAATAAAGAATATTACGACTATTATGACTAGCGCGTACAGGAGCAAATACCCTGTGCAGCACTTGAGAACCACTCTTTAACAATAAATGTCAGGTGACTTCATAAGGTTATTTTGTGACTATTACAATGGCGTTTGGGACGCTGACGCCAGCCCTGGTCCTGGTCGACACATGAGCAAGAACAAAGCACCAAATGGAATTGCAGTCGAGAGTCCTCACAGTTTAGAGAATGCTCTGACATGCTGGCGATGCTTTGACAGTGTGTGAGCCCAGCGAATATGGCGAGTATTTTTTCTGCCCTACGTGGGACAGATTTGGGCTTTGGCTTTTGGGATCTTGTGGGCCACACAGCGGCTTATTGTCTCTTCCTTAAGTACAGCGACTTTCTTGTCTTTCTTTGAAGTCACAAAAACCGCCTGCCCAAGAACAGACGAATGACCGGTCGGGGCGCTAACGACCAAACGAACCCTCCATCAGTCTGTATTTCGATTCAGTCTAGGTCAAAATATCGGCTCAACAATGCCCCTCTCTATTAGAAAATGCACTGGCTTTGGATGACGTTCTCTGCTAACGACTACAGTAGCTGTATTAGGTCCAAACCTCTGTGATCAAATATCTGTTTTTAGCAATGTACTTGTGTTAGAGATTGTTTTGACTCCTGGATCCGGTGGCATTAGACAATAACACCAGACGCTAGCAGGGTTGTCTACAGCAACTTATAACCTGGAGTAAACCCCATCTGTATCAGAATGATAGTTCTAACTTTTTACCGGAAAGCACATAGGACAAGAGATGGTAAACACTGCCAAGGCAAAGCCCTTGCAATTTTATGGTGTGCCCTCAGGAAATCAGATTGAGGATTTGGGTTAGTTGCTCTGTTGGAATAACGACAAAACAATTCCACACCCAGGCCTCCAAATTTGTTTTGTTTCACCAGTATCTTTGCGCAATAATATTATCAGAATTATGAAGTTTCTGTGGGACAAAGATCGGTTTACCACAATGGGTGCTTCTTTCATCACTTTAAATGTCTCCGAACTGATATGTAGCTAGGCAAGACGCAAAATTCCAATCAGCTCCGCCGTTTCTACTTAGGCTAATGCCAATGATTCGACGCTAGGCAGAGAAAAGGGAAAATAATTCGGCTGAAGCTAAACCGTCGTTTTCATGTATGTGAATGCTTGCTCCCTTCTATGCGTCACTAATATCTTATGCCAGACTCCCGGCTGTCCTAAGTTTACTGTGGCACCATCCAGCCAGGGCCCGGAATGGAGGAATTCAATCTCTCTCTCTCTCTCTCTCTGAAGTCTGAACCAAGGAACAAGCAATTACTCGTGGTCAAATTCAAAGCCCCTTGTTCCAGAAGCAGCAAGGCGGACTACTAGATGCCCCATTTGTGTCGTAGTAGAATCAACTTACTAACCTTGCACTAGTCAGCATGAACAATCCGAACTAGGTCGCTCAAAGATTGTCCGCCCACTAACTCCAATAATCTTAGGGCAAAGTCGGTTGCATTATGCTGCAGTATTCTTTGATCTCACTTAACTACATTCATGGAGCGGGTTTAAAACCTCTGCGAAATTCGGGAATTCTGTCAACATACTTGCTGCGTTTGTGTTGAGCGACCTTCCTTAGATATCCTGGTTGGAAATGCAAATGGCGACT